TTGGCAAACAGTCTAGAAAGTGCATACATTTAAATTAACAAACGTTTTAGCGAATAGCTTTAGTTTGTCTTTTGCGTGTTTGCAGTTTAATAGCAGTGATTTTCTTTAGCAGCCAATTAATGACGTTTAATAGGTTGGGCTTTAAGAAAAAATTTCGAAAGTTTAAAGTAGAGGCTTCATATTAGGAAGAAACTTCTTTAACGATAAATTCTGGTTGTTTGGATGCATTTACAAGTGCAAAGGGCGTATTTTTGAATTTGAAATCTTAAAAGCAATAACGGTGATATAGTCGAGATCGAGAAGAGAAAATGGCGCGGCTCACAGCTCAGTCAGGTCAACACGATAGGTAAAGCTCTCCGCTTGACTGAAGTGTATGGAAATCGATTCCCCTTGCTTGTGTGTCGGCGAGTGCACAGCGCTTGTCCACCCGTAACTGACCTTTCACACGATTATCACCGTTAATTATGAGAATGATACGGCCCTGGAGCTTAGTTGCGCCCGATGCAATGCTCGATTGATCGTTGTACGTTTGACTGTGTGTCACTCCAGCGGACTGTTATGGCATTAGATGAATTGAGTTAACATATATGTTTGTTATTTCATGAATAAATTATCGATTGTAGCAAGTGACAGTGGTAGAGAGTCGTGTAATAAATGTAAATTCGTAGACATTATTAATTACAGCAATGACTACTTTTTATAAAAATAAACACTATTTAGTTAAAAATACATCTAGTTTATAATGTGCACCGCAGCGTGGGAGACTATGTAGATTTTTAACGAGGATTATCAATCTTTATAAAAAGACGACCACCAAATCAGCAACTGCTTTACTAGAACAGTAGAAGTCAACGATACCAATTCGGATAATTGTGAACGATTTAATCGAACCTTACCGATATATTCGTATAAACCGACTGGACAAATTGAAACGTTTCCTTAACGTGCGAGGATAGCGAGGTTATTAGATGATGCACCTAGTGGATTGTGTACAGGTAGATGAGCTCGATTAGTCATAGTTGAACGTTTTTACATGTTTAGAGAGAAATGTGATATTTGTGATGCATAGTTTTTTTATTTTTTTCAGGACTAAGCTTGAAGTAGATAAATATAACTATTTTTCAATTGATAATTTATTTCCAATTCTAATAAGACTATATTGGCTTTTGACGAATAAATAATTATTTAAAAAATCAGTGATTGATCAAGCTAAAGCAATTAAAAATTTTAAATACGAATGTCATAACTCGTCAAAAGTCAATCCATATGTAAACAGCATATTTATTCGCGAGCCAACAGGCTTTTATATGTTATAATTTAACATATATTTTTACATTTAATTTAATCATATACATGTATGTACATTTAATAATATTACTTTCTATCATGTAATGAAAATTAATGAAATGCGAATATTTATAAGATATTCAATTTGAGAGTAAAATATATTTATAAAGCAAGGAATAAACTTTCTCGCTAATTCAAATCAGCCAGAGAAGTCTAAACTTATTTATTACCAAAATATAGAAAAAAAATTGTATATGGATTTTTGAAAAGCTTTGTACTAGACTGTAGTAGGAAGAATCCAGAATTGCGTCATCAGTATGCGATTGCGATAGTGTGGATGTCAGTGCTGCTGCATGTGTCCACGATTGGAAATTCAGCGCAGTTGAACTTTGGAAAACGGAAGCTCCTGCCAGCTGGTCGGTCGTCTTTGTTTTCCTCGGCACTGGTCCCGGGTGTGGATTCAATAATTTAACGTATAAATTGCAGATATCTCTCTCTCGGCGCGTCCGAAATCGCGTGGCTTTCGTTATTCGCTGTTCGAAGACATTTGCTTTGTACTCTTATCAAATATTCAAATGTTTATTATTTATACTAAAGCTGCGTTTTTATGTGGAAATCAAACGTTCGAAACCGTTACAATGAGCAGTCGAAAAAAACGCGGAAAGCCACTCGAGGCAATCTGTCGCTGATAAAATAGACAAAGTAAAATTTAAACAGAGGATTAACTGAGAACTAGCGAACTGCGAAGAGAAAGAGGAAAGGAACACGCTCGGGAAAAAAAGAGCAAACGCAAACGTTTTCTCAAGCTTGGCGGAAAATCGCGTATAGAAGGAGAGAGCTGAGCTTCGCGAAATCATAATATTATATAAAGTTTGATTGAACAGTATCATCCTTTATTATTAATGATGCTGAAATATCAATTTTGACTGACGCGAGATAAGGTAATATGAAAAATCTACAGGGATTTCAATAGATCGTATACCTTATATAATTAAATTATACATGCCTTACTCTTTGTTATTGTTTGGATTTTCAATGAGCGAGTGTTCTCGTTGTACGATTGTACGAAATACAAAAATAAACCGTAATATTCAATTCTTACTGCACATTTCACGATTGGATTACCAACATCAAAGCAGTCTGCGAAAGGAAATAAATTAAATCAGCCTTGAAATCAAATAAATCTGAGCAGTGTCATTTTACGCAAAAATATAAAAAAGAAAGTCACGAATAGGCAAAGACCAGCATCACGAGTGCATGTTAAAATCAGAGCGTGGAGGGAAAATACAGAGTCAGAGAAATATAAACATGAACGTGTGCGCAGCAGCAAATTCGAGAGTTGTGAGATAAGGATGTAGTGATAAACACTCAATCGGGCATCACTTTTTTTCTCTTCTCATTCCTTCTGCAAACCTAGTTAAGACTAGTTGACTAGTTCGAGACGTTAAAAGTTCTTGTTTTCATGACAATCGTGGAGAACGAAGAATAGTAAATGTGGAGCGTTGCTTTATTTGTTCAACAGGAAGTTTTGATGAGATGGTGGCTGTTTACTAGAGTAATATTAGCGATAACAATGCCGTATTGTCAAGTAGTTTACATTAGTTGTTGAATGACAAATATAATACCTCCTCGAGGATCATGAAGTGCACGCTCTCTACTGTCCTATAGTGTGACGTTAATAAAAAAGTCATCCATTGTGCTGTGTGGATTAATGTAACATTCTCATTGTACGATATGCCATTATTGTGTTGCAATCGTCACGAGTTTTTGAATCGAATGATTCGAGTCAGATAAAACTTATACACTTCCAATTTTATGATGCAAAGAAAGCTCTTTTATTTTACTAGATTGCGAGAGAATTCGTTTCGTTCAACTTTTTTAAAGACAAGATTACATTACTTCTGATTGCTCAAAAGAACCTGCTTTAGAAGAGTCTTTACACAATGCAAAGCAGCCTTGAGTCTTATGGAAAATATTCTATTTCACTACTTACAAAGAAGAGAGAGTTCGTCAGTTTCTTAGCTTCACATTAAATCTCGACAGAGTTGAAATTAAATTTACGGAGACGAGACGAAAAAAATTGTATCTGCAATGCTGGAAATATTGAAAAATACCGTTGGCTGTGGTGTCTTAAATTTTTCCATTTACAAATTTATCAATTTTAAGGTAAATTTAAACAAGTATGGCAGCTTGTACATGAATATGAATAATATAATGAAACCTAATGTTTTTCTATGGTTACATCTCTGAGATATAGTGTCTGATAATACTGGTAGAATCTCGAAACTTTTGAATCCTGATTCAAACTTTTAAAAATCAATCCAGCTTAACCGCCAAAATTTCGATCGATAATCCAACAGATTTTCCTAATACGGTTTGCAAGCTCTTTCTTCTTGGAAAAAATCAAAATAAGAAAAGTTAAATCTATAGCGTAATATCTCCTTGCAATCAGCGCGAGTTATAAAGCACACACACACGAAGCCCATTAATATCGGTGCTTGCGTGTTCGTGATGAATTGAGACGGTGTGGTAAAATGTGCATTCTAATTCTAAGCTAATTCGAAGTTCGGTCTGTAGCTTGTACCAAAGAAGATTCCTTAAACAGCAAGGAAGACAGAAAATATAGGAGTACCTGTTGCGGAAACTCTCTCTCTCTCTCCCTTTCTTCTCTAGGTATATAATACGTGTAGTTTATATGCGAAAAGGTAGACTCAGCTCATTGTTTTCATGCGTGAAAGATAGTTGAAAATTCAATCCTACGTTGTTTTCTGGATTATATTTGTATGTGAGTTCGAAGGATCACTCGGTTTTCATCACAAGTAGTACGAAATGATTTTAGTCAGCCCTTTCAGACGGTATCTCAACGCATTCGAATTAATTTTAACAGCACGAGTTAATTAAATTTAACGACCAATTATGAAAATTTAACATTATACCCACATTTTGATATTGTTTTAATAAATCAAATTGATATATTTTCATGATATTGAAGTTTCATTTAATTACAAAAGCTGTTGAGTTGTTATGTGGTTATTGTGACAACAATTTTTCAAACTCAACATTGTTATTTCGATGAGTGTGTGAATCAAAAAAATTAATTAAAATTATTTAAGTGCTTGCCTGCTGTAACGGAAAAAACGTTAGCTTGACTTTTCCGACGTGGTTTCAAAACGAAAAAAAAGCTTATTATTCCCGTCGCTATCAAATTACCATTTTTCTTGAGTGTTACTCATCGAATGCATGTAAGTTATTACAAAAGTATCTAAAAATCTATGGACACACTCACGTGATGATAATCAAATTTGGTTTTATCGCATAATAAATTTATGCACATGAAAATTTAGAGTCTAGTTTTTTTCTTTTCTTTTGTACTATTTGCAAAAATGTCAGTCAATTTCGTTCTCTTCTACATATAATGTTTTTTATTTGTTTGTATATATATAATGTTTTCTATTTCTTTGTATAGATAATTTTTTTGTTTATACTATATATATAATGTTTTTCATTTTTTAGTGTGAAATATCAAAGTATATGTCAACATTTTCGTGCTTGCGCAAACGCAGGCTCACATACATGTCTTCAATATACGACTATTTTGTGCGTTGAGGGTGATTTGATGACTACCCAACTTCATCGATTTCTACATTCTCTTTTCTACCGCACTTAAATCATAGGATACGACGAAAGGCTTAGTTGATAAAAACAGTACGTACCATGTTTAACTACAGAGGCTGCACTTCGTTGACTGAAAATCACGTGAGAAGCACTGCATCTTCGACGTGATTATTCACTATTATGCACTGTTCATCACATATTATCTCGCACCACTAGAATATAACAAACAAACAAAAAACGCTGCCACGATGAAGATTTGAAGAAAAATTGTCCGTTTTCTTCTCTGCTCGGGGGGGGGGGGGAGAAATTTAAATGATAGATAAAAATATCTAATAGAAATAGAAGATTTTAAAACTTTGCGTGTTTGGGTGCTCATAAAAAAATACGGAAAAGATTATGACCGCGAGGGCGCGCAATTGCTTGTGGCTGGTAAATGAAATCATTGAGGCGAGAGAAGCAAGTGATTAATAAGTTGATAAGTAAAGAAAGAAGAGAAGGGTGTACAACTGTAGAATGGTAGTTTACTGTGTTATTGATTTCCGAATTACGAATCGATAATCTCTATTCTTAAAGTTTTTTCTTTCGTCTCTACTCGCGCATAGTTTTGTGTAAAACATGGAAATGCTTTCATGACAATGTTACTTGTTGCTTGCGAGTATTAAGTGTCAAATATTTTTATAAGATCTGCGTGAATTTTTTTGATACACTTTGGTAGAACATCAATTTTTGTAAAAAACGATCATCGTATTAAATAAATACATCAACAACCGAAGAGTAAACTGATCAACAATAAACAAAAACTTCGTACTTTCATAAATTAATCTTTAAAATAATATGAAACTTTTTGTTACAACGATTAGAGGATAATACAAGGAATATAGAGATAAGGATAAATGAGACAGAGAGAGAGAGAGAGAGAGAGAGAGGGAGAAATGCTCACCTGAGCTAAAATCATGATGTGCGGCAGCTGGCGCGCCTCGCCGCGCACTGACTGCTATGCTACTACCACTTGGCTGTGCGTCGTTCGTCGTCGCCGTTTTCGCCCCCCGGCGCCCTCGCTCGGCCAAAGTTCTAAAGGAGAAAGCTTTTCTCTGCGCGAGGCCTCTTTCCTCTTTTATTTTTTAAGTTTCCCAAGTGCTAGTATTTCCGTAAGGACTGCGGTGCATTTTGATGTTTTTTTATTTCAGGAGAGTGTACATCTTTTTCTTTTCTTTTATGATAGATGCATTAGGTAAAAATGATCAATATGGTAATCGGATTGAATTAAGTATCCTTGAGATTATTTTTAATATTGTTAATATTTGTGAACAAATTTTATTTAATCATAATAATAACATTTCTGATTATATATAAACGCCTACATTAAATGATTGAAATAAATAATTATTCAAAACTAATTCTAAATAACGTCACTGTGAATTCCAGAAATAAAAAACGTAGAATTAAAGCAAAGCAAGACACCTAGTCGTACAGATTTGTCGCACAGAGTTTACAAAACAGTATCGTAAAGAAAAAGTTTGCTTTGCATTTTTCACGTGATAACGTTGTTTATCATATCTTTACGAGATAAATACTCGCCATTTGTAAGGGATTAAAAAATCCAATACGCATAAAAAAAAGAAACTCGCGAACGCGCAGAAGAGTAATTACACGTCGCGTACTGTCGCGCGATAAATCAAATTTCGTTTTATCTTTTTCTGCATCCCCCGAAAAGTGCCGGCGGTCAGAAAGTTGAGGGAAAAATGGGTACCAGAGACGTGCGACCTGAATGCGTCTCCCTTACTCGCTTTTGCTGTTAGACATCTGTGGCTGTTAAGACGCTTAAGCGCGCGCCTCCGCAACTTTCATAAAAGTTTTTGCTCGTAAAACATTTTTTTTGTTTTTTACAATGTCACCTTCGACTCTAAAAAATTTCGTCATTCTATTTTTCTGCGTTGTATATTACAAATTTAATTTGGCTCCAGTACATTTTGTATTTTTTTTTTAATTCTGTGAAAATAATTAAATGTGTTAAGTTTTTATTTGTATAAATAAAAAGCAAATTATCTAAAAATTATATTTATAGTAGCTTTTAAATTAGGATCTTTGAAATGATCATGCTTTAATTCAACGAATTGCGTGTTCTAACGATATTTTTTAACTAATTTTAATTTTACAAAAAATAAAATGTGCTTGTAAGCAAAGAACAATTATGGTTTCTATTTCTTCGAAACGCTCTACTGGCGTTGATTGTCGAAAAAGCCCTTGAGAAATCTTAAGAAGTCATTAGGAGTGCAACCAACTTGATGTAGTTTACGGACTGAGTGTCTTTCTTATCCTTGTGGTTTTGCGCATTTACTATTTATATAGCAGACTCGTTCATACACTAAACTATTTTATGCCATGTCTCTTTGATAAAAACGAGAAAGTTAAAATTCCATAAAATATCATGCGACCGGAAAATTCGTATCTTATTACAATTAATAGTAATCTCCAACAATTCAACTAAACAGAAAGTCAATTTACTGAATTGATACCTATTGAATATGATTAAAAATCTACATTTACAAGAAACAAGTATAAGTATGAATTAATTATTCACATCTTCGAAAGCATTATAATTTATTACCCTTGGAATTTCTATTGCACATAATATTATGATATTTATTATCTTTCTTATCTTCTATCGATGAAATTTTTCCTTCTTACGTCAATATCTTTTAATAACACGTACACATTTCGCGAAACTTCTCATTCAATGCCTGACACGAAAGAGACTGTTCCAAAAAAATATCGTTGGCTCTTAATTGAAAAGTTATTTCTGTTATAGTATAGATTGATAGAGATTTTTACAGTGTAGTTCATTCCGATGTACTCGTCACAGTTAATGAATATCGAAATTTCATAAAACTCACTATAATAACAAAAACATTTTATGTAAACCGACATTGTGTCTTTTTCTTTGATTTATTTCGACATTCGAATAATGAAATAAAAGTTATAAAGATATGGTAAAACGTGCTACAGAGTTAAAAGATATCAGGTTCATTATTTGCAATATTTTTTCTTTGTTTTCTATCTGTAGAATCTTTTAATTCTAAATATTATCTTATTACTATAATTATTAAATTTTAAAATTATTTTATTATCTGAGGCGTCAAAAGTTTTTTCAATGGCTTTTTCCATTTAAACAAACAAATTTGTAATTTTGCTGAAAGACTTCTAAGATGACGTAAAATGTATTTTTTATGAAATTTCATTCGAAAGATGTAGTCAAGGAAAAGAAAAACTGCAAATAATTAACAGCTAGTTCATTCAAGAAAAAACGTTTTCATGTGTAGAGTTATAAAATGACGATCAATAGTTCGAAAAAGAAATAATATTGATGATGCACGTTTTTTAAATTATATAAGTCAAACAATATCATGATTACCGATAAAATTCTTTAGAAAACAAACTGATAAGGCATGAAAATAATTCAAAAGCATTTTAATAAAAGAACTCCTTCGTGTATATATAAACATAATCCTTTCTTATACGACAGATAATCATCTGTAATCTAATAAACTTTAATTTAACTAATGACATTAGTTAATATTCGGAAGCTACAGCTATTGATATAAGTGTATTTCAAAGTTTTATTCAGATAAATGGAATTTGTTTCGCACGTATAAGTAAAATAAAACTTCTAATATATTTGAACATCTTGAGTCACACATGTTACGTTATCATTTTTCCTTGCAAATCTCGTATTAATTACACAGTACATTAATCGATTGAACACATTCATAAGGTTAAGATATTCACCTTGATATGACCAGTATGGAAAAAGAAGGAAAAATGGTTAGTCGAGGAATACTTATTTTTTGCGTTGTGTTTTTTGTAGGTACGTACATTGATTAATTTTCTCATGAATATTATGTTATTTTATGTATTATTAGCATTCTATATATTTATTGGTTGGAATGTAAAATAACTAACTGTTTTCCGTAAACAGGGAATATTAATGCCAATATTCCACGTATATTAAATGGACATGCTGCAAATATTGAAGATTTTCCTTATCAAGCCTCCATTCGCAGAGAAAATATACATATATGTGGCGGTTCAATTATAAGTGAAAGACACGTTCTCACAGCCGGTCATTGCGTTTATAACGAATTTCCACCTTACTTCTGGTTACGAGTGATTACCGGGACAAGTTATAGATTCGAAGGAGGAACAGTTCATGAAATTGCTGATATTATTGTTCATCCAGAATACTTTACCGACGATAACAGAGCAATGAATGATGTCGCCGTCATCACGGTAAGCTTGATTTATTAAATTTTTAGTTGATACTGAATTAATTTGGCAAGGTATTAAATTTTATACATGGTTAAAATATTATTATTTTTTAGCTAAAAGATATAATAGTTTTCAACGAGTGGCAACAGAAAATTAGTCTTCCTACTCATAAATTTACTGCTGGACAAAGAGTTAACTTAACAGGTTGGGGACGAGTGCAACAAATGCCCCCAATTCGTCCTCAGCAGCTTCAGAAGCTCGAAACGGAGCTCATATCTCTAGAAGAATGCCAACAGCTAATGATCGATCCCGAACAGACGAAACTTGATCGTAGAGATACTTGCACTATCGTAATAAAAAATACTGGCATGTGTTTGGTAACTATGTTTAGATATTTATATATAAAAACATACCAAACTACACTCACATTTGGATATTCAAGTTTCGCCAATTAATCTATTGATATTTTTCTGCAATTCTTAATAGGGCGACAGTGGTGGTCCATTAGCTGTAAATGGTGAGCTTGTAGGTATCGTCTCATGGACCGATGGAGATTATTGCGCTGGTGGTCATCCAGATGTATATGTTAATGTCTATACATTCAAAAATTTCATCGAAATGGTTATGAAAGAAACAGAGATATCATGATGCAAGATCAAGAATGTTATATAAAATGAATATAACCGAAATAGCAATAAAACCAATAAATGATATGTATTTTTGTATAATCAACGATGACATTATTTCTTGTCATAGTTACTTCAGCTGACTCTGTGCCACTAAAGAAACAAGAAGAACAAGAAAATCGATCTTATAGTTTACAAGTTCAATGACAATAACGTTAGTAATCATCGTATTAGACTTTATGAAGTTTCAATGAAATATTCTTTTTTTTATGTTTCTTTCTCATATGTGTGTATGTTTCATAGTCGATTTAACGTTTACTATATTTGTTATGGCCATACATAGATGGTACATGAGTTGCCAAATTTGTTGGCGGATCATTCTGGTGTATTGAATGCATAATTGATGTAGCTAAAGCTAATAATTTTGTCGAAATTATTATGGATATACTAGTTTGATATAACACAGTATATTTAATAAGAGAATGATTTTAAGAAAATAAATGATCAACATTTCACCTGCATTTTTAACGAGGCTTATTGAATAAATATACAGTTGTGTTATACTGTCCGGAATCAAACAAAACAATTAGACACATAAAAATATAGACAATGACAGAGCATAATACTAAAAGTAAACTGTAAAGGATTGAAAAGTTATAGTATCTATGTAGCGATGGATATATGAAAGACTTCCACTTTTTTGTATTAATTATTACAAAGTGATGGTATCCAGTGTGCTGACAGTGCTCTTGATACTTTACAAGCATACATCAATACAAAAATTGTCAACGACCCAACCCTGATAAGACGTTCAATGAAACTCGTTAAAAACTCCTGATTTCGTCATTATAAACTAATCCCATTTAATGCACTACGTTGCTCGATAAAAACTCGGTCACAAACTTGCTCGGCAGATAACGCGAATTATCAGTTACCAATAGTTAACTTCTTTGGGCCTATCAAGTTTATTAATATTCACGAGAGCTGTCCATCCGATCAACGAACTTACGTCGACGAAAGCATTAATTACTCGCATGCATCTTAGTGGCTTATCATCCGAGCTTTAAGCTCCGACTCTATTTCTCATATTAAACATGCACACCGTGACCGTTTTATCTCTCTACGTGCAGGATTTCAAAATTCACCTGTGCTACCGACTTTCGAGAACATGACGTTCTACTTACACATAGCTCACGTGATTATGCCACATTTATTTGACACCTTGCTTGTGCAAAAATTATAAGCTGTATGAGAGTATATTATGTTTTCGTGATATTTGAAAGGATTTATTTCGTGTGTTTCGTCGATGATTAATATGATTCACAAATTTAAGAAGTTTATTTCGAACAAACTTATTTTAACAAACTAGAAGTTTCTAGTAAAATTATAAAAACACTACCGATGCTTCTTGAAATATTCTTTTCAAAGAACAAAAGAATTGTAGCAATAACATGTTTGTTTCTTATAAGATTTTTACGAATATCAATTTATTTACCTAATTATGATTATTTTAATATGTTAAAACCAATATGAACACGAGTGATATTTTGCAAATCATTTATAGAAAATTATTTTTTATTGTCAAAGCAAAACAAGTAGTTTTAAATCAAAATATATCATTCAAATTTATTTGGTCAATTTTCTGGTATTCTATATATTTGCGGTCGGCTTGAAATATGAATCGCGACTGCAGTTTGCGCGCTCAAGACAAGTTTGACACCTTGCTTCAACTTGATCTGCCTCAAAAATGCGACTCGCTAGAAAAGGTCTCAGGATCGTACAAGCTGTGATTTATGACTTTCCAGTCGATTATTGCTAAGAGCCATAGCCGAAGATCAAAACAATTCCGATAAGCACTTGACCTGCGCATGTCATAAATGCCATATGTTTTCGGCTCTACTAGCTTCCTTACATGCACAAACTTGTTCGCTTTGTCAAAAAGCAAGACATAGAGTGGTAATAGAGAAAAAGAATTTACTATAAACGCACTATTAGTTTGTATTCGCTCAATCATGATTAATGTAATATTATGCGATCTGAATTATAAGCGTTGATCCAAGGCGATATTGCAGAGAAAATGTGACGGGGAAAGATATAGAGATTCAATATTGACACATAATAGGCTAAAAAACTAGAAAAATTGAGAAGATTTATACCTCGCAAAGTAAAATCCATTACATTGCAAATAGGAACCAGAAGCCATTCCATAACTTCAACTAGCAAGTATATCGATAAATAGATATATGCTTTGCTACAGTCCAGGAGATTGGAATATCTATTCCAAACTCATTTAGTGAGGAAAGATACACAATTCTTATGGTAGCAAGGAGCGGGGTGGCAAGCTATCCACAACTATAGGAAACGCTGTAAAAGCGATGCCCATATATTCTCAGTTAACAAGAGGAGAACGAAAAGCCTAAAGTGGGGATGGAAAAATTCGATTTTCGACTCGTTCACCGCTTATGATTCAGAACGCTTTAGTAGGCCGGTAAGTCGCTTTCTAGCACTAATTCAATATCAAGTTGACTACCGTAACTTTAAGTTTTTCTTCATCGCGTGCGATATAAAGTATAAATTTATATAGTTTTAATTAGTATAATTTTCACGGTTGTAATTAATATTAGTATAATTTTATTTATTTAATATATTTTTGGTAGTTTTAAGTTTGATTGTGTTTTAAATTTATAGAGACTTTCAGATTTAGTAAAAAATTATTTATTTATTATGCTCATTCCCATCCTGAACACTGTATTTTCTTGAAATAAGAGAATCTAGCTTATGTATGCTTTTAGTTGCATCTAACAACCCTTTCAGAATAAACGCATTTAGTTTCGACTGCATCGATCCAAATACTTTGTAATTAGTTGTATTACTTATCAATAGCTACTTGATTAAATTAGTTTTCACTCGAAAAGCACTAACAAAGTGCTACTAATGTAATATAATACATGAATTTATAAAATATCGAGAGAGTATGGGAGATTAGTAATATTATTTATATATTTTCTTAATTTTTCGTATATATACCTTGGCAGTTTTCAAATGATTCGAATGTGCATTTGAAAGACAAACAAGGAATATGCATTTGACTATTTTGCATGGAATTTGGAAAACCTCGACAAGCCCGAATTGAAAACATTATTGACAAATATTCGTAGAAAATTATGCAATCATAATAAAAATAAAGTGCTGACGCCAAACGCCTGAATCTGAATATGTAGTAACCAGTCGAAATGATTTGCGTATACGTTACATACTTTCTACCAATCGGCGCTCAATTCCTCCCTATTTAAATGCAAATTGTCTAGTGGCCGTTATAGGCAGAAAGCAGCTTCTCGTAATTTGGAATAGCGCACGCATTGAATTGCCATTAATCTTTATTGCACACTACCGCACATGTGTGCATATTGTTTGCGGCAAGCCTCCTCTCCGGTATATAATCAAGTCAACTTAGCTTTCCGAGCGGTGCAACATTTACTGTGTGCTTACATATATGCACGTATATGGATATATACGTTGAATTTGATCGAATTTTATTTAATCAGTTCCAGTTTATTAATTACCCCGCTGGTTTAATTAATTAGCGATCAGTGACTTCTACTAACTTGAGTGCCAAAAAGTCACTATGGATTTATTTCCAGCTACAAATCAAATTTACCCTGACCACTTATTCCAGTAACTATGTGTTTTTTCAATACGCTTTTACTTGTTTATCGAAAGATATGACCTCCAACAAGATATGACATTTAACAATTTTTATGTCGTGCAAGCTCTCAACCAATAGCTTTATTAAACCTGAGTTTTTAAAAACACATTTGAGCATCAAAAATATCTTCAACTCACATCTTAAAATGAAGAGTTAAGTCTCGCTGCCTCGATGTGTGTTCTCACAGTAGGGCTATGAGAAACGAACAAGGAAGTGAAATATGGCGAGCTACTTTTCTTGTTCTTGCCAATGCTTTCTGGAGCATTGACGAATTACTGCTATTGTTTCGACGGGCACGAACTTTTCTTCCCAATCACTGGGACGGATTTATACGCGACAGCGTCAAACTTGCAAATCAAAATAAAGAAGCAATACAGTTTAATTTTTTTTTAATTAGCTTCAATTTACAAGGCGTTTTAACTCAGAGGAAATATTACTTTAAAGTATCGCAACCTGTTGCCGAATAATCTTGCAGCGGATATTCCTGTCTTTTTTTCATGTCTTCCGGATATGAAAAAAGAACTGACGTTTCTATAAATCCTAGTCAACTCTAGCCGCATGTGCCCTGTCAATATCCAAGAGAGAACAAACAGCCAGGTAATTGACTACTCTCGTGGCAATCCAAAAAGCTGACGCGTGCGAGGGTTGTCATATTACATTGCATTCATTTGCAGCGAAGGCAATATAGAAAAGCTTCATTTCTCTTGTTACCGATGGTAGACGCGTCGCTTGCTTTACGACAGATTAATAATATTTTTGTTGTTTAGTCCTTTTTTTATTTTCCCCTCTTTGACTCATAAGCTGGGCGTCCTGGGAAATTTTACTTTTCATTTGCTCGGTAAATCGAATCCTCGCTTGTGATTGACATGTAGATTGCTTTTCGCAAGTCATAGATATGCTTACATGCGCCTCTTTCTTGAACTGTCGGGCCACGTCACGAAATGCGAATGCGAATCTATCGATCTATACACTGCGCGGGAAAGCCATTATTCGGCCTGATAGTAGTTTTTGGTTGAGAATACGAGACTCCAAATGTTGGAAGTCCTTATTCGCGAGATAATAAATATTCGCCTCCATGTTATGAAATACGTTTATTTACTAGAGCTTAGTGCGATTCTGTGAAGCAACAACATTACAACATTACAACATTACAAGCAACTAGACAATATCCGTGTGCAAGTCAAGCGGTAAGCTTCCAAGTTGTAAATCAACATTTATAGGGAGTAATTTCATAAGTCACAATTTATATTGTAAAAGCACAAAAGGACTAAACTAAGCTACAGTGAAAGGGAAGCATGAAGAGTGCAGTTAAACAC